TCGGAAGAACATTTTAAAAAAATGAAATGAAAAATTACTTCTAACGTGGATAAAATTCAACTAAATTGAAAGTAAAGAAACATTTGCGTTACATTAATTTAATTTACATACTATATTTAAAATCTACTCTGTATAGGTCTGATAGTGCTGAATGTTAAATACAATTAAGTGTATAGGTAGATTAGTTGAAATTTTAGTATAATACCAATTTTTAAAGGCAGCTTGGTCTCACATGGATTAAGTAAATCAAATAAAATTCCTGTTTATTATGTGAGAATTTGCTCAAAGATTTCCTCACGAAAATCAGCATCAATCATACCTGAAACAAAAAGGCCAAACCTGAAGGTACAACATATGACAGCTCAGCTCTCTTAACATATAAATGATCACAGCCCAGTTTTCAACCCCCACCAGACACTCTCCATATCCCCAAAACATGCAGCTTGTAGAGTAAGGAAATGTGTTGAGAAATAGAAGCCCTTGCTATAGATTCTACAAAAATAACAGCACCTTAGGAAGTCTTACTATATTAATATTCAACATAAATAATCTGTTCTTTGCATACCAACTCTAACACAGTAGTGATTGTCTTCAATCTGAACCAACATGCTGGGCACGTTTCACATGTTTATTAGTTACATATGAATGCATTTATAGCCCCTGTAATTGAAAAGGACCTCAGAGAACAATTATGATTTCCTCATTTTATAAATGAGGAATCTGAACTCGAGGGGCCATGTCTCACTTGGTCAGTGATAAAGCCAGTACTAAATACAGTTGGCTTCCTGCTCAGTGGTCTTTCCACTGAACCAAGATGTAAATGTATTTGATGTCTTGAAAGAGAAAGACATATATCACTTAAATGATAAACATATAGAGCTGAGAACTAATAATCCAATTATTTCATACACAGTGGGCCTTTAAATAATTAGCTTACCTTATCAAAGGGAGGATAGTAATAAGGTTGTTTTTTATTCTCTGGGAATCTGATGTGCAAAGCTGTTGCATTTTCAGTATATGGATTTGTTTGAACAGTTCCCATTGGATTCAACATTTCTTCAAGTTCATCTAAAACATGCAAATAATTTTGATTCTTAGGAAAATGTTTTTGAAACTAAAACAAAACTTTAATGGATTTCAATCCATTACTTTAAAAGTGTGTCACCTAAGGAAGTTTGGCAGACAGTATCAGTAAGCCTCTAATTTTCTTAATGCTTAGCACAAAATTTGAATGAGTTTATATACATCTTTAAAATGAAAAAGTTAACAGAAATTAATAGCTACCTCACCTCTTTCTTCAAATGTGTTCAAGTATTCTCAGTCTACAAAAAAAAAAATTGGAACTGCTTTCATCCCATCAAAATTAGGTGGTCCATAGGAATTTTTATTATTTCATCACTATATATCAATTTCTTAATCACATATGTTCTGATTTCCATGGTCATCACAGTACCCAAACTGACATTTTGAGAGTCATTAATAACATTCCTTTTGACAAACCTAATGTTGGTAATGTTCCTTTATGATCTCATAACTGCTGACGTAGTTAAACACCTTCTCTGGTAGTTTCTCAAACATTCCACCCAAGTGGTACTTCTTTAACCTCACCAACTGTGACATTTTTCAAGGCACTCCTTCCTCTTTTCTACCACCCTAAATATGTTCCATTCACAGACTGGGCATGCGAATCAGAATTTCAATGTTATCTTAAACCCTAGAGCTCATATAACTTTCTCATTTCACAGAGAAGTAAACTGTTGAAGAGACATTAAACTCTGAGAAAACAAGAGTTAGCAGTACAAACTAAAGTCTCCCCTCTGCAAACTAATTTCTCTTTTCTTATAACTGATTTTTTGCACAGTTGTCCTTTTGTACTTCCTAAGGAAATAAAAGTACATTCTGTCCAGACCTAATGTCCAGGTAGTATGCACACTGAGAATTATCTCCCAAAGCTAGAAAATCTGTACAAAGTACTGGGTGGTCCAAAAGGCTCGTTCAGTTTTTTCTGTAAGATGGCTCTAATAGCACTTAGTTGTCTTTAACTTCATTCGAAACAATTTTGTTAGATTGTATGTGACAGCTGTCATATCAGCGTGCATTTAAAAAAAGACTTATCAAAATTGGTGAATTTTTGTATAGACACTTTAATATTGAAGATGGAAGAAAAAAAGCAACATTTTCGGCATATTATGCTTTATTATTTCAAGGAAGGTAAAAATGCAACTGAAACACAAAAAGATTTGTGCAGTGTATGGAGAAGGTGCTATTGACTGTTCGAAAGGGTCAAAAGGGGTTTGCGAACTTTTGTGTTGGAGATTTCTCGCTGGACAATGCTCCGCGGTCGGGTGGAACAACTGAAGTTGATAGCTATCATATCAAGACATCAATTGAGAACAATCAGCGTTATACCACACGAGAGAGAGACAACATACTCAAAATATCCAAATCAAGTGCTGAAAATCATTTGCACCAGCTTGGTTATGTGAATTGCTCTGATGTTTGGGTTGCACGTAAGTTAAGCAAAAAAAAAAACCTTCTTAACCATATTTCCGCATGCAATTCTCTACTGAAACGTAATGAAAGCATTCAGTTTTTAAAACAAATTGTGACGGGAGATGAAAAGTGGATGTTGTACAACAATGTGGAATGGGAGAAATCGCAGGGCAAGCGAAATGAACCACCACCAACCACACCAAAGGCCGGTCTTCGTCCAAAGAAGGTGATGTTGTGCATATGGTGGGATTGGAAGGGAGTCATCCATTATGAGCTCCTTCCGGAAAACAAAACAATTAATTCCAACAAGTACTGCTCTCAGTTAGACCAAGTGAAAGCGGCACTCGACAAAAAGCGTCTGGAATTAGTCAACAGACTGATCTAAAACGCATAATCTTCCATTAGGATAATACAAGACTGCATGTTTCTTTGATGACCAGGCAAAAACTGTTACAGCTTGGCTGGAAAGTTCTGATTCATCCGGCTGTATTCACCAAACATTGCACCTTCAGATTTCCATTGATTTTGGTCTTTACGAAATTCTCTTAATGGAAAAAATTTCAATTTCCTGGAAGACTGTAAAAGGCACCTGGAACAGTTCTTTTCTCAAAAAGATAAAAAGTTTTGGGAAGATGGAATTATGAAGTTGCCTGGAAAATGGCAGAAGGTGGTGGAACAAAAAGGTGAGTATGTTGTTCAATAAAGTTCTTGGTGAAAATGAAAAATGTATCTTTTATTTTTACTTAAAAAACCGAAGGCACTTTTTTGATCCATCCAATATTTACAAGTTTCAGCTCCTTAATCAACCCTTTGCTTATCTTGTTAATACTCTCACATCTCACAGATTCCATTTTGACCTGGACTGAAGGAATTCTCATAATTTATACACTTCTGAAGCTGACTTCTCAGCAAATTAATATTCTATATTTGTGCTATCTAGTAGCGTTATATTTATTAGTCCTATCAAATGCAACCTATCTAAAGTCAAGTGTACCAATTTAGTATTATCTGCCCCAAACATATGGAGAACAGAACACTGCACAGAATATGCTATTTTATTTAAGAATAGGGAGAAAAGTAGAAATTTATATTTGTATTTTCTTCTATATATATGAAGAATTGTGGAAATACAAAAGCAACAAATAAATGTGATTATAAACCTTCTAATGATGACCTAGGTACTCTAGAAATTAGAGTATTTGTAGTTCCCGTGTTTCTGGCTTGCTCGTACTAGGATAAATGTGAATTCTAGAACCAAACATGCAGAACAAACATCTCTAACATTTTGTTAGAGATAAATTCAGATCCATGATATGCCAAGTTAATTGCAAAAATTGTCAATTTTTCTAAAAATATCAGTTAAGTTGCTTACTGATTTTGGAGAACATGTGTGAGTCTAAATTAAGATTTTCAAAAAAGTTTACTGCTGAAATGAATAATTTTTACTCTAACTGTGAAACTACAGTTCCTCTTAAGAAGATCACACTGCTCTCCTATATTTGGGGGAATAATGTGATTAGTGAAAATTATTGGATGTATATGCAGGAAAGGGTAGGAATAAAAGAATATACACAAATAAAATGCTAGGATATGAGCAGTTTATAAATATGTTCATGGATAACTGATTATCCAAAAGCAATTTCTCAGGTAGCAACTACTAAAATAGAACATTTTTAAATGTCTGTCACCCACAAAATAATTTTTAAATGCAAGTAAGGGCACAATTTTACTATATATATTAACCAACTATGAAGACCAAAAAAAACCCCTCACTATTATAATGCAAAGATAACACTGAAAATTTCCCACATTTGGGAAAGCAGTAGGAACAATGGAAAGAGTCAAGCAATCTTTTGCACAAATCCTAGGTTTGAAGAACCAATTATGTAAGACTGACTTATGGCTGAACTTCACTTTTCTCATCTATAAAATGGGACAAAGCCATCGACCTCACAGGGATACTCTGAGTAGTATTTGAGAAATATAGGCTTATGGAAGGTGTTCCTCTTAGCTCAAATTTCAAGATAACGCCAACTAAAGAGGAAGTGTCTTTACTATCCTTCCCATGTTAGTTAATGTTCCTTCTAGTGCAGAAGCAGAAATTCAGTACAACTAGGAACCACAGAGATTGTTATAAAGAAGAAATTGTTCCTTACAAGAATGTCTCAAAAACCTGTAACAATAAAACATTTAAAGTGAGAAAACAGTTATCAAAATAAATATATTCAGATACAAATCACTTTTAAGTATATTAAAATAATCTTGGGAAATCTGTTTTAGAATAAACAATAAAAATATGAAAAGATGGTTTCTTAACTGGACTGAAAAAAGAGTCATAAAAAAATGTTAACTAGTCCACATGCCAAAAATTATTCTTTAACACTAAGGATTAGGATGTAAATCTTACCAGGAAATGAAGACCAGCTGTGCAATATTATATCTCCAGATCTCAACTGTCCTTTGAAGTCAAAAACCATCGTATTTACCCAGGCTACAGGATAATCCTGTTGAAAAGATACCATTGCGTAAATATACTAAGAATAAACTTTAAGGTGTGAACACACACATACCCTTTGCTTCAGTAATGTTAGTTCTAGAAGTTTCTAGTTTTCTAGACGATTTCCTCCCAAACCATCCAATATAAAAACAAGATATACATGGAAAGATGTTCAACATCTTTATAATGGTTAAAGAAAATCCTAAAAGCCAATTAATGTCTCAGAATAAAATACAGTGTCCAAAAAGTAGAATATTTATTGTGCAGCCATTGCAAATGATGAGGAATTTTTAATGATTCAAGAAAATATGTGCGATATGTTAGATTATATGTTTTAAGATCTTTCAGTCTATATAAATCTTAATTTAGCAGAAGGCAATGTCTCTAGGTATTGTAGAATTTATTTATATTTCTAAAAAGGAGGCACCAAGCTAATAGGACTTTTATGTAGACACTCAGACTAATTAATCTGGTCACAGTCTATGAAAAAACTATAAATACTTGAACACTCTGAGTAAAATTCTCTATCAGTGGAGGAAAAAAACTAAGGAAATAACTCTTATGTGACTTTTTAGACAATAAAATTCATTTTTTAAAAAACTATATGATAATAACCAGAGGAAAGGCTTATATTCTCATGTTAAGAATAAAAGGATACAAATTCATGTAGTTAAATATAGTCACCAGACTTTTTAAAATGCATAAAATTCATGTCTCCATCCTCCAAAAAGAAACTTTCCATAAAGAAGAAAATTAAAAAGACTTGAATAAAAATATGAAATGGAAGATGAGAATATAAGAACACGTTCACCATCCTTTATCCACAATTTCAAAGTCCAAGAAACTCTGACAACTAAAGGTTTGTTCATAACTCATTTAACAGTAAAACATGACCAGAAATAACATGAAGCTAAATGACAGTCTTCATTCGTCTCATTTAGTATGAATATTCATATATTTCACTGCTAGAAACTTAAGTGTTTGATTACAGAGTTGTGTCCCAGACCCTACAAGGTGTGTTGAGTGATCTATGATCTTTCTAAAATGCATAAAATTTTGAATTCTCAAACATATCTGGCACCTGAAACTTCAGTTAAAGGACTGTGGACCTGTAATATTTTAAATCTCTTCATTCTTTTTAAACTATTTTCTAAAAAGGATTACATTTATAATAGAACACTTACAGTATGACATATACTAAAATAAAGTTGCCAAAAGAAAACTGACAAGGACATAAAATGGAGACTTACTGTCTTTTTTAGAAATCAGTTCTTAGGGACAAAAGTTATATGACATAATTTCATTTATATTACTCTATTATTTCAAAGTTTTTAAATTATTCCATTATGTTATTATTAGTCCATTATAAAAAATTTTCAGAAGTTAGTATATAATTACCACTTTTCCAGATTTCCTGATGGTCTGATATTTAGAGGGATTAATAGCTTTAGTTGATTTCTTCGTTTTCACTTTATCCAAAACTGCGTAAACAGCGAAACATAATCGAGCCATTCGTGGCAGGTCACAAGTATTGATATCAAATTCCAGTGGTTCGTTCCAAATATGATCGTTTTTCCCTGATATCTCTGAGCTTACGACGGTTTTACACAGGAGTTCAGTACCATGAAAAAGGCCAGCCCTGACATGAACCTGTAATGATGGAGACAAAAACAAATACAGAATCATGAATACTGCACCACTAAAACACCTTTATTTGGGAGAATGAAAAAACACATACTGGCAGAAGCAGACAAACTCTAGGAAAGCCTATTCGTCCACAGAACCATTAGACTATAATTCATCAGCATATAATTCACCACACTGTTAGTATAACCTATTTTTCACTTACTAAGCAGACCAGCTAAAAAATGCCAAAGGTCTCAATGGTATAAATGGGTCTAAAGAAACCAAGACCATAAATATAAAAACTACTATCGGGCTTCCCTGGTGGCACAGTGATTGAGAGTCTGCCTGCCGATGCAGGGGACACGGGTTCGTGCCCCGGTCCGGGAAGATCCCACATGCCGCAGAGCGGCTGGGCCCGTGAGCCATGGCCGCTGAGCCTGCACGTCTGGAGCCTGTGCTCCACAATGGGAGAGGCCACAACAGTGAGAGGTCTGCGTACCGCAAAAAACAAAACAAAACAAAACTACTATCATATGCTTACTTCCACTCACTTCATTTACTTGGGGCCTTGTCTTAGTTATCTGTATAGTTGGAAAGAGAGGGGTGGATAAAATGTCTCCAAGGTCTCCTACTTCCAAATAATTTATGAACTGGTCAGTATAAAAGTCAACTTAAAGTTATCTAACCATATTTATGATTATCCTACACACTACTATCTTGCATTTTTCTCCTAAAGACTCAGGTCCAGAGTGATGCAGGACACAGGTAAAGTCTCAGAAAAATTTTCTCAGTCATTTATATAGTTTTTTTAAAACAACATGACATGATTATCTCTGATTTAAAACTGAGTGGTAAAAGTAGAACTAAAAACAGTACTAAAACACAGAGATTGGGAACTCCCTGATGGTCCAGTGGTTAGGACTCCATGCTTCCACTGCAGGGAGCATGGGTTCAATCCCTGGTCAGGGAAATAAGATCCCACAAGCTGCAAGGCACGGCCAAAAGAAAAAAAAAACAAAAAACAAAATTAAATACTTTAAGATCAAACTTTTTTTCATCAGTTAATTCAGATGTGACATCAGCATACAGTAGTACTCAATAAATATTTACAGATGAAATAAATGTATATGTGGAATTATTTAGGTTTGTTTTTCTGTAGTTTAAAAAAGCTTATCAGACTTCCCTGGTGGCACAGTGATTAAGAATGCGCCTGCCAATGCAGGGGACACGGGCTCAAGCCCTGGTCCGGGAAGATCCCACACGCTGTAGAGCAACTAAGCCCATGCGCCACAACTACTGAGCCTGCGCTCTAGAGCCCACGAGCCACAACTACTGAGCCCTCATGCCACAACTACTGAAGCCCGTGCGCCTAGAGCCCACGCTCTGCAACGAGAGAAGCCACTGCAATGAAAAGCCTGCGCACTGCAACAAAGAGTAGCCCCCACTTGCCGCAACTAGAGAAAGCCCACATGCAGCAACAAAGACCCAACGCGGCCCAAAATAAATAGAATAAATAAATTTATTTTTTTTAAAAAAGGTTATCAATAAGAATTTTGACTTGTTAAAAGAGTTACTGTCCTAATTTTGAAAAGGTAGATACCAAAAAATGTCTAGATATTAAAACATATTCTACAGTAATATAAAATTTGAAATGTTGATAATACCTTTAATTTTTAAAATTATTACAAATATTTATAATATATTACAAGTATGAGTTTTAAACCTATAAAATAATTAAAATGATGCTGTACTGGCATAAATAAAACTATAGGTTAGAAGACTACACTCTTCATAATGTGACAAGGAAAGGACAGCTTACTTTAATAAATAGTACTCATTTATCTAACTCCTGCAAAATAAAGAGATGGATTAATGGTTAAGTATTTTAACATCACAGAAAAGCAAATTAAAAAGAAAAATCTTTAAAAAGCTATCAGAATAATCATTGAAGCTGGGTGATTAGTTCATGGAAGTCGATTATACTATTCTATTTTTGTGTATGTTTGAATTTTCCTTTAAAAACATTTTTAAACTAAAGGAAGAAAACTGAAGGACTTTGCTGGTGGTCCAGGGGTTAAGACTCCAAGCTTCCAATGCAGGGGGCCCGGGTTCGATCCCTGGTCACGGAATTAAATCCTGCATGCTGCAACTAAGAACCCGCAAGCCGCAACTAAAAGATCCTGGGTGCAGAAACTAAAAAGATCCTACGTGCCGCAAGAAGATTCCCGTGTGCCACAACTAAGACCTGGTGCAGCCAAATAAATAAATAAATATTAAAACAAAAAGAAGAAAAAGAAGAAGAAAATTGATTATTTACTCCAAATACAGGTAGATCATTATAACACTAAAGATTAAAGTAAAGGAGTTACAAAGGACTACTAAAAACACTTTCAGTAAACTCTCAGGCCACCAGGAATTTTTATCTGAATACACAGCTGATTCCCCTCAACTTCAGAGGAAAAGGGGTATTCCTTCTGCTCAAGGCCCCTGGTTCCATCTTGCTCCAACTCCCCAAGTACTCAGACCTTTCTCCTTTGCTCCTCTACATTGAAAAATAATCTTCCTCTCCAGGAGGCAATGAACCTATTAAGTCTCTCCCATATCAAACTCAAACAAATAAACAAACAAACAACAACAAAAAAACTTCCCTAGAACCTAACTAATCTTAATGAGAATAGTATCAACAGCTTAGACACTCTATGTCTCCTACATTCAATCCATCATGAAGCCTACACTGTATACAAGGAGGAAATTATTTATGATATAATCTTAAATGAAAAATGAAATAATAAATACTATATATACTCATTAAAAGCATATTCACATTTTGACAGTGTGCAGAGAAGAATACAAATAAAAGTAGTTTATAGTAGGATACCAAGAATATTGGTGTTCTGTCATTCCCTTAAGTGATCTTGGATTATATTTCATAATTTTATCTTTCTTTTTTCTTGGTGACTGAATGCATGGCATAGGATTTTTTTTTAATAGATCTTTACTGGAGTAAAATTGCTTCACAATATTGTGTTAGTTCCTGTTGTACAACAAAGTGAACCAGCCATATGCATACATATATCCTCATATACCCTCCCTCTTGAGCCTCGCTCCCACCCTCTCTATGTCATTGCAAAGCACTGAGCTGATCTCCCTGTACTATGCTGCTGCTTCCCACTAGCTATCTATTTTACATTCAGTAGTGTATTGCAGCACTATTTACAATAGCCAGGACATGGCACCAACCTAAATGTCCACTGACAGATGAACGGATAAAGATGTGGCACATATATACAATGGAATATTACTCAGCCATAAAAAGAAACGAAATTGAGTTATTTATAGCAAGGTGGATGAACCTCGAGTCTGTCATACAGAGTGAAGTAAGTCAGAAAGGAAAACAAATACCGTATGCTAACACATATATATGAAATCTAAGAAAAAAAAATTAGGGGCTCCCCTGGTGGCTCAGTGGTTAAGAATCCGCATGCCAATGCAGAGGACAAGGGTTCAAGCCCTGGTCCGGGAAGATCCCACATGCCGCGGAGCTACTAAGCCTGTGCGCCACAACTACTGAGCCTGCGCCTAGAGGCCGTGCTCCACAACAAGAGAAGCCACTGCAGTGAGAGGCCCGCGCAACACCATGAAGAGGAGCCCCTGCTCGCCGCAACTAGAGAGAAAGCCGCACGCAGCAACAAAGACCCAACACAGCCAAAAATAAAAATAAATAAATTTATTTTTTAAAAAATGGTACTGATGAACCTAGTGGCAAGGCAGGAATAAGGACGTAGATGTAGAGAATGGACTTGAGGACACAGGCGGGGCGGGGGGGAAGCTGGGGTGAAGTGAGAGTAGCATCGACATACATAATCTT